GGAAAAACACAGATCAGTCCTCTGGGTTTCTGGAGCAAAGCCATCCTATTTGAAGTGGAAAGTGAAGCAAATTTTGGAACTATGACTCTTGGCATGCTACTGGGCCAAGGTATTGATGGGACATTTGACTATATGATATCAAGTAGCTATGGGTGTGAAACTAACAATTATGAGTTAGGTCTTGTTGGATCATCCAATGGAAACATTACTTCTGAGACCCAAGAAAGCAAAACTGCAGAGCACACAAAAACTGCATGAGTCCAGAGCTCATGTTACCAGCACCCTTTGGGCCACATCCCTCTAGCTCATACTTCAGCTGCCTGAGGAGGAGGAAAAACCCAGCTAGTCTTACAGATGGGTTGACTTTACCTGTGACTGCACCTTGCAATGGTCAGCAGCTGCATTTTAATCTTGATCAGCACTGATTATCCTTGCATGGGAATGGAAAGGTAAAATCTTCCCAACAAGGGAACTTCAGCTTTGCCTATTTGTATTACCAAGAAATACTGCATCTGCATAAATCTTCTCTTCTGAAAAATTTCCTTCTACTGTTCTATTGTTTGTTAAAAAAAAAAAAACCTTCTAAATGAATGTCTCCTAAAAGTTCTTTTTTAAAAATAATTAATTAATTAATTAATTATTTAGTGTGTGTGTGTGGCCAGCTCAGCCCACCAGGGTGCGGGACTGGCATGTGGTGCTGGGGGATTGAACCTCTGTCCCTGTGCTTTGCTTGGCTTAGCTTGTTCTAAGTAGGTGCTTTAGACCACTGAGCCATCTCACCAGCCCCATCTCCTAAAAGTTCTATTTTAACTTCAGCTGATGTCAACTCAAGAGGTCATGCCTCCCAGCCAGCTTTACCATTTCCTTGCAAGGCCAACTCCAGGAGAGGTGAACATTACTAGAACCTGGTAATGTTTAAGCCTTTAGAAGCACCCAATGATATTTTTTTTTCTTTTTTTTTTTTTTTTTTTTTTTGGTGGAACCGGGGATTGAGCTAAGGCCCTTGAGCTTGCCAGGCAAGCACTTATTCTACTAAGCCATCTCCCTGGCCCCATTTTCATATGAATGTTTTAATTTGACTAGTGCTTATCATGCTTGTAGTGAGAAATGACAACTCACTCAGGATGATCACAACCTGGAAGAAGGGCAGCTCCTGGGAGGACAGGAAGTAGACAAAGGACAGGAGGAGGATGCCTCAATGGGTTTTGCCTGCTTCACAGAGCCACCTGGGCTGAATCATCAGAGGAACCTTACATATTCTTATCCTTGATGTAGGCTACATGGTTAGCTTTGTGTTATCCTTGAGAAATGATGAAATACTGCTCATTGGCATTAGGTGTGTGTGTGTGTGTGTGTGTGTGTGTGTGTGTGTGTGTGTGCCTGACCAGAATCAAATGTAAATGTCAGCTCTTGTGTAGTCCCTGAAAAAAAAGTGCATGACGTTTATTTCTGGAAATGTTGATTTTCCTAACTGACTCGCAACTGTAAGGTCTGAGCTCCTACAATGGGTGCATATTACAGCTCCAGGGTTTAATGTGTATGATCTTTCTCAAACTTGTTTCCTTAGGTATGGTTATTTAAGTTAATATTAATAACAAGAAAAACAAAAATGCTGATTTTAAAAAATCACATAACAGGAATCCACTTTGATGTGGTTATACAAAAACTTTTTCATTTTTGTAGATATATGCTGTATTTGATCTACATAATTGTATTTCTCCTGTCTTTCCCGGAGATTTAAAATCATTGCTTCTTGGGGCCGAGGAGATGGCTCAGTAGAATAAGCGCTTGCCTGGCAAGCACAAGGGCATGAGTTCAACCCCTGATTCGCAAAAAAAAAAAAAAAAAGTTATTGCTTCTCTATGAAGACTTTGCTCTCACCATCCTCTGAATATGTCAAGTGGCCCTTCTAACACTGCAGCTCCTCTGGAACTCTCATTTTTGATTAAAAAATAATATATATCCCAACACTGTGCACAAAAGTTAAGTGGTCCTTTTGCTTAATAGGACTGGCTTGTGAATGAAAATCCTTATAAATTTATTGGCCCTGTGTACATTAACAGAGCACAAGAAATATATTAGTGTTTTTATGAGATCTTCTGGTTTCAAAATTTAGAAACTTATTTTACATGACCGTCATTATTATTTTAAAACCTCAAGGAGAATATTCCATGATCTACCATCTCATTTTTCAAGTAAGTGGGACACCAAGGGCCCATGACTTAACCAAGTTGAAAACTACTGTGGGACTCAAACCTAGAAGGGGTGATGTTGAATACATGCTTTGGGCCTTTATCTTAGGGCTAGTCTTTGCAGATAAAAGAAGGTGACTATTTTCAAAGATAAACTTACAAGTTACACAGACCTCTGGGGTACTGCTTTATGTATGTATTCCAGCCTCAAATAGGAAGATGGATTATTAAGCAAGTGTGCATGATCTAACACTTTTTCTCATTTAAAAAAGAACAAAACAAATATCATATTAACCGAACTTTCTCAACAGGATTTTAAAACCAGCTTTTCATGACTACTGGTTACTAAAATCTTTGTGTTTTAGAAAAATAAATGAAGAAAGCTGTAGATTTTTTAAATATAGAAAACTAATGTATCATTGTTTGATGAATGAGAATAAAAGAGCATTAACCATTTGTTTAAAAAATACTTTCAGCAAAGTGTGGTAGGTGGGCTGGTGAGACAGCTCACAGGACTAAATTGCCTGCTTCAGAAAGCTTAGGCAAGCACAGGGGCTGTATCTCAATCCTCGGCACCACATGCCACACCAGCCCTCCTCCAAGTTGGGCTGAGCCACCCAGAGTCCATGCCTGGTGGCACACACCTCTAATCCCAGCTCTGGGGAGGCTGGAAACAAAGGATCAGTATGAGTCTGAGCTGTGTAGTGAGACCCTGTACCAACCAAATACATTAATCATTGTCATCATCATCATCAATAAAATAAATTTAAAAATTTGTGGTAGATATTGAAATAGTGTGAATGGAGACTTACCAATAAGTGAAAAAGAACTGCCATTTAATATTTTTAGTAAGCATCAAATTTCTTGATTTATAAATGCAGAAATGAATTCATATAAAGATGAAAAGTATTTTAAAATTAATGTTTATTAACTGCAACAAACAATTTAAAATATAGCAAATTAAGATACAGGTCAAAGGATTCAAAGAAACAGACATATAGGACCAGTAAGTCTATAGATGACAGGTACAAAAGGATGATTGTTGACAAAATTGTAATAGAGACTTTTATTAAGTAAGTAGATTTTTAGCTGCTCTTATAAAACACGGTGGTTTGCTCTTGTAACATGATAAAATATGTTAATTGGTGCTACTTTACCATTTTACTACAAATGTGTGTCCTGTAACAGCACATTATAAGCCTCAAATATCAAAATAAAGTTTTTTAAATCTTTACTTACTTGGTATAGGGTCTCGCTTAACAGCTCAGACTTGTAGTGATCCTCCTATCTCAGCTTCCCTAGCACTGGGATCACAGGCGTGCACCACCACCCCTGGTGTAGGTGGCTGGGATGCCAGGCCAGCACGACATGTGGTGCTGGGGATAGAACCCGGGGCCTTGCGCTTGCCAGGCAGGCACTTACACCACTAAGCTACCGCCCTGGGGTCTATTTTGAAATAAACAAATAACTAAAGGGGCAAAGCATTGTATACAGGATCAACTTTCTGAGCGTTCTAAGGTGTAATTATCGTCTTCAATGCTCTCTTCAAAATAAGTTCATTTTTCAATTAATATTACTAATGTGCTTTGGATTTCCTCCAAAAGGTATGCAGAAATAGTCTTAAGAGTGACATTGGGGGCCCAGCCCTAGCTCAATTCTTTAAGTGGCTGCTTCCACAATGCTGGCAGCCTCAGTTTGCTGTAGTTCGATCCCCACAACACTCCAGCCATGCAAAAGTGCCCTGAAGGCATTCAAGGAGCAAAAAAAAAAAAAATTCCTTATGGGCTGGTGAGATGGCTCAGTGGTCTAAAGCACCTACTTAGAACAAGCTAAGCTAAGCAAAACACAGGGACCGCGGTTCAATCCCCCAGCACCACATGCCAGCCAGCCCCGCCCCCTGGTGGGCTGAGCTGGCCACACACAAAAAATAAATAAATAAATAAATAAATAAATAAATATTTAAAAAAAAAAAGAGTGACATTTAAGTGTGCTTCAGTGTGCTTCATTATTAATGAGTGAACACTCAAGACAAGGGCATCATAGCTAAAGCATACATCATGTATTTAATTAGCATGACTTTAAATGTGTATCTGATAAAAGCACAAGAGCAACGTGAGGATGTGCGATGCAGTCCGAGCATTTGCTATCTTGAAACAATCCTTGGTTGTATTTGAATCACTCATCTCATCTTTATATATTTCCAGTGTCAAGTACCATGCCTGGTTATGGTAAAAACTCAAAGGTGATCTGGGGGACAACCCACTAGGGCTGCCCCCTCTGTCCCACTCTCAGACAGGAGCTTTCTCTCCCTCAATAAATACATGCTGCTCAAAAAAAAAACAAAAAAACAAAAAAAAAACAAAACAACAAAAAAAACACCTCTCAAAGGTGAAGACATGCTAATTTGAATTGGCCCGCTTTCATAAAATCCTCACTTTATTTCAAATTCCTCAAAAAACAGTCTGGCTTTCCCTCCTCATTATGTAATTCAGACAACTGAAAACTGGTCAAGAATGTGTAAGAAACTGAAGAGTTTCAAATTATCTGAAAAAACACAGAGCAATTTCAGAGAACAAGGTAGAAAATCAGAGAATCATTACAGAATACTAAATGGGAAGGGCACAACAAATTTTATTCATCTGTCATTAATTTCCAAGAAATGTCAAGATGCAGATAGCAAATGCTTCAGAGTAACCGCTGAATGAAAGGCCCAGCAGCTTGGTAAGTGATTACCACTACCTTTCCAGATCCAAGTGTTAATTTTCTCACTAACTCCAAGATAAGTTTGAAGTCTCTGTGGTGAGCCTGTTAATCTATATCTGCTTCTTCCAAAAATAAATTAGTTGTCGATGAATCACTCCTCAAGACTTTGCCACTTACAATAAGCTTTATTGCCTTTCGGAACCATGGATAGAAAAAGGCATATATCAGGGGGTTCATAGCTGAATTATAATAAACACACCATACTAGTATCTCATACACATAAGGAGGAGTTATGAAATTCATGTAAGCATCAATTACTGCATCAATAATGTATGGCAGCCAGGAGACAAGGAACGCTGCCACTGCAATGCCCAGGGTTTTGGCAGCTTTCCGCTCTCTTTTTGCCACTCTTGCCTCATAACTTTCTACAGAAGACTGAGTTTGGCTGGCTGTGCTCTCTATCTTCCTAGCCTGATGCTTAGCCACCAAAAATATCTTACCATAGATAAATACCATGGCCGCAGTGGGGAGAAAGAATAGAAGAAAACAGAGCAGAACCCAATTTTGGTTCAGAGGAGCCTGGCAACCTCCCACGCAGGTCAGGGCAGCTACTAGTTCCTCAATCCCTTCTTCATTGGCCCCAGTGTAAAAGATAGAAAAGCTATATGTGACCGAAAAGAACCAAGAAAGAATGATGCATACTCCTGAAACTGATACAGTGAACTTGGTTGGATAGGACAGAGGGTCGGTTACAGCAATGTATCTATCAATAGAGATGCAGCACAGGTGAAATAAAGAAGCAAAGCAGAAGGAGGTGTCAAAGCATGTGTGAAATTTACAGTAGCTCTCCCCGAAGTACCAGCAGCTCTCCACAGACCTCACCGTACTAAAGGGCATCACCGAGACTCCCACCAGAAAGTCGGCGCAGGCCAGGGATGCGATCAGAAAGTTGGTTGGGGTGTGCAGCTGTCTGAAGTGAAGAATCGCAATGATGACAAGTAGGTTTCCAAACACGGCCAGCACGGCCCCCAAACCAAGGACTGCGTAGAGGATCGCTCGAGGGCCTGGTGAGTATGAGGTTTTAACGCAGGATTCATTCACGTTCTCATAGCAGAGCTCCACAGTGTGGGCTTGGGAGAAATTGTCCACCATTGCCTTCTTGTTTGGGTTCTCTTAAAGTTTCCAAATTCCTGACTTCAGCAGTTTAAAACAAGAAAGAAACAATGATTTCAAATGGGTTGGGAGAGGAAAGAAATCTCTAGTTAAAAGGACAGTAACTTCTGTAACAATGTTTAGCACATAATCTGTAACCTTTTAAGCTGTCCAAAAACTCCATTTTGAACTCATTTAAAGTGAAAATTCATTGCAGAAAGGCACTTAAACCACAGTCAAATATATGGCTAAATAAGTGTTGGAAGTGCAGAGTCTAACATATATAATACAGGACATATATTGCCAATTTTCAGAAAAGCCATTTTATGTGTTTGTATCACTTTACCTTTTGAAAAACGCTCATCTGTAACCACCTCAGTTGAACAATAATTAGGCTTCCAAAGGCTGAGTTTTATTACAAAGTTATCTCCCATGAGTGGACATTTCAGGTGTGATGACAAACTAGGGTTCTAAGATTAGTTCTAAATTGCATCCCCTTTACCTTACAGTCTCAAAATCCCTGTGGTATCAAGTGCGAAGACTAAGGAAGGGTTGACTCCTAAGAGCTTTAAAGTTCTTTTGTGAATACATTTCTTTTCCTGCTTATATTTTCAAAATGTGTGTTTGTTTCCTTCTTACTTGTGATTTATGTTTATCAAATTGATGACAATGCAATCCATGGAACAGTTTTTTTCAAGCTAATGGACAATTTTTAACTGTCTAAAACCAATAAGAGTTTCTTAAATTAAGTAATAACTCACCCAGAGTCTTACGTTTCAATCCTCAAAGACTCAGTAGTTTTAAACCTCCACAGAGGAGTAGACAACAACCGGAGTGAACTGAGGTAGTACAGGTCAGACACCACATTCCTGAAAGCATAAATTTGTGCTGTCATCCAAGATTCAAACAGAGACCAGTTGCTTTCTCTCCATGCTTCAGTTTGTTCTTATACCAGATATCAGTCTTAAGGAAGATTTTTAGAAATAACGTCACAGGTGAATAATAAATTGCTGATTTTTTTAACTATATAAATTCAATCTTGCATCTAAATTTTAACCTCTAACCCAAGGGTAGACTACTTTTATTTATTGATTGATTTTTTTATAAGACTTCTCTTTTTTTTTTTTTTTTTCTGTATTTAGTACAGGGTCTACAGGGTCTACAGCGTCTCACTAGGTAGATCAGACTCACAGTGGCTCTCCTGTTTTCAGCCTCCCAAGCACTGGAATTACAGGTGAGCACCACCACGCCCACTCTCAATCACCATCTCAGTGCACCCCAGATTGAACCCTGTTGCTGTGCTCTGCCTAAGCAGGCGCTTTAGTCTGCTGAGCTATCAGACCGGCCCTGGACTACTTTTATTACCATTTACTGCTTATAGTACAACTGGGCTCTCTCTTTCTCTCTCTCTCTCTCTCTCTCTCTCTCTCTCTCTCTCTCTCTCTCTCTGTTTGTGTGTGTATTTTGTTGTTTGGTTTTTTTCTTTTTTGTACCAGGGATCGAACTCAGGACCTTGCACTTGCAAGGCAGGCTGAAATGCCACTGAGTTAACTCCCCAGCCTTACAACTGGACTGTTAAAAGTTCAGGGTTTTAGGAAAAATTATTTGTACATACATGGAGGGGTGTGTGTGTGTGTGTGTGTGTGTGTGTTTCATCTCTATGTCTACACCTTCAGGGTAACAGGATTCCCTAGACTGTGAGATGTCAATAATATGCCAAAATGCTCATTTCAATATAATGCTGTGATTTACCTTGTCAAAGCATAGATTACCACAACACACCCCTCATATTTGCAGTCTTCCCTTTTCTGTGATTTTTAAAATAAATTCATTTTGACTTTGATTTTTTTCTTGTATGTGAGCCCTCTCTGGTTTGATGAAAACCTACATTAAAACTTGTGCTCCATTGGCCAAGCAATGGCCGTGACTCATCCACATGGCTGACATTGACAATGGTTCTACAATCTGAGGTACAAGATCTCAGGATAAATCCTGAGGGGATTTCACTGACCTTCTCAGACCCAAAAGCTACAACTCTTGTTGCCATAGGTCCTGCTTTACCTTGGTCTTAACCATCCAGTAGAAAAGTATGAAGATGAAATATAGGAAGGAAAACCATGCTGTTATGTTGAGCTGTGGGGGACTCAAGTCAACAATTTCTGACATTGTCAGTCAAGCGGAAGACCCAATACTATTATGGACTACTAGTCTCTTTTAGAATATTTTGCTGAGTTAACACACCTGTAATATTCAAATAACGGAATTCAACAAAAAGGGATATAGATGAATGTTCATTTTTTATTTGTGTATTCACAATTGTTAGGAGAGATATATAGTTACATTCTCTTAATGAATAGAATGATTTGTTCTAATGGTGTTTGTAAATAGGATCTCAAGTCAGCATCTTGTACAGCAATTAACCACTAAGAAGAATATATGCAGTGTGTTAGTTATTGAAACTGTCCTAGCAATTTGATTTGAAACTGTCTCATTGCTATTTGTTTATCAACAAAATTATGGCAAAAAAAAAACTTGTGCTCACAGGGTACCCAGGTTACTCCTGGGGTTCCCTAGATGAGTACATTTGTTGTATTCCAAATCCATGTTCCCAATAAAACTACACTGATTCTCCTCACACACTCTCTTCTCCACCCAGCCCTTTTAATAAGTTCAATCACATCTCCTGCTTTCTCACCAGATAACTCAAGGGGTTTCACCACTCCCACAACGGATGATGTTCTGCCTGAGAGTTTAAGTGTCTTTGAAAGTTCTCTGTCTCCTCAAGACTTAAAAATCACCACTTCCTTAGCCCCCAAGAAATGATGATATTGTACAAACGACAGTGACCTCTTTACAGATCTCTATATTAAAGGGCAAAATAGCCATCTTCAAGATTGCTGAGTGTCATAAAACATGCCCTTTCTTAGAAGCACTGAGGAGTACTCCAAACACTCTGGAGTAATGAAAAGCACCCGAAAGGCCCACATCTTCCTGATTAATACTTCTCAAAAATAAGAGCAAATAGTGCTCCTCAAAGAAATGGTTTGTCACAGCTATGGGACAGGGAAGGTGATACGGGGATAAACAAATTTGCTTTCATGCAAAAAAACAAAGAAAGAGAGTTTTTAATGTAGAGTTTTTCATAAGCACAATGTTGCTAGCGTAAACAGGTTCCTACTGTACACATCTGAAAATGATTACAGTGGCACAGTAATTATGGAGAATAAAAAATTAGATGCTACTGAGAATAGGAAACCAACTAGGCCTTACTAATGATGGAAGGATAAACAGACAAATAGATGGAGAGATGGTAAAGGAATGCTCTTCTAACAATAGAATGGGAATCACTGATGATATATATGGAAAAACTGTTAGAGTCTCAGTGTTATAGTTTTTAAGCTATCACATAAATATTGGCTCAACACAAAAATCATCAGTTGATGTTAACTTTGATGAGAATCAGATATTTCAATGTTTGAAGTGTTTCCAAGAGTTTATTAACTGCAAAAGCAAAACTGGCTGTACAATGAAGAAACAAAATCCTATCTTGAGAAGATGATCAAAAGTAGCAACACTCATTTGGGGAGCTGGCACTGCACACCTCTGGATAGCATACCCTGAAGAGCACTTGACATCATGTGTGTGCACTTGAAGTTAGAAATGCTAACCAGAATCCAGCCTTTGAAAAGAATTTAGATGAGCCTACATGGAGAAACATCTTATGTAGTAATGGTAAGGGAATCACAGTCAGGTAATATTCTTTTAAGATGTCAGTGATATAAAGAAGGGAGAATTATCTCAGAATAAAGGTAAGATAACTAAACAGAAATGTGACCCTAGAATGGGGCACAGTACCAGCCAGTGGACATCACTGGGATAACGATGGTGTTGGGGACAGGTTCCTGTAACTGTTAAGTCCTGAAAAAGCCGAGGTGCTTTAAGGAAGCTCAGAAAAAAACTAACCACACACAAAGACAAAGATGGAAACAGAGAATAAATGTTAAACAAATAGAATACAATTTTAGTAGATGAATTTGAGTAAATTGAAGTATGCTTTTTATTTTCTGTAAATATCTTTGGACTTAAAATTATTTCCAAATCAAAAGCGTCTTTTGCAGAAGGCAATTTAAAAATACTCTTTACTACCTCCCCCTATTATATTCTTCATCTTGAGCAAGACTCCCTCCTACCTCACCAAAGTAAAACCTTCCTACAAGTGGAAATTCTGATTCTCTGCCTGCCAAGCCTCTTCTCTCCTGGCCATGGTGATTCCAAAGACAAAATGCCTTGATGTTCTCCTTTCGATATAATGCTCCAACTTACCCTGCCAAAGCATAAAGCATAGTATCTTCATTGTATTTTGTAACTTTATGATTTGCCCAAGTGCAAAAACTGAACATAAAATTATACTATATTAAAGTGACCATATTTGTTCCTCCACTGATTGCCCCTCAGAAGTGAAGAGCAATCTGCTTCAAAGATGTGTTTGTTCTGTTTGCTGAACAGAAAACTAATTGAGTATTTTATGCAAGTACTTACTTTCTGTATAGAAATGGTTCTGGTCATCAAAGCATAAAGAAAAGGAAAAGAAAGAAAGAGAGAGAGGGAGGAGGGAGGAAGGGATAGAGGAAAGAAGAGGGGAGGGAGGGAGGACAAAGGGAGGGAGGGAGGGGGAGAAAAGGAGGGAAGGAGAGAGGGACAAGGGAAAGAAAGAGACCTTAGAGCAGGGCTATCCCTTGCACACATGCATGTGCTGCATATTTATTTCTTCCAGTCTTTATTATTACCCTACCCCACTCCAACCATCTCTCTGAGACCATCTCACAAGCAAGAATGGATGCTGAAAATATTTCTCTCCTACTAGCATCATCCCCATAATCCTTTATATACCCATAAAGAAAATGTATAGCCATCTAGGAATATTGGTTTACAATAATAAAAATAAGGGAGATGGTGCTACCTGTTATGTTTATACAGAATTTTTTGGGATGGAGTTTAATCA